TCCTCAAGGGCATCCCTCTTATTTACCGTGGGAGAAGTAAGCTTCCTTATGCTCTCCCCCAGGGAGTCCAGGTTCACCCTTCTCCTCCTGGTGGTCCTCCTGGGGCCAAGCACCGGGGCTGGCTGCCGCTCCTGCGACCCCGTGGGGCTTTTGCTCCCATTCCAGCACATCCGAGCCAAGGGGCATTCTGGCTCTTCCTCCGGGCTGGTCTCAAGATAGTCAGATCCCAGCGAGCTGAACGATTCGGACGAGATCTTCCTCCTGGACATGCTGAAGCTTGGTCAAACACCATGAGCTGGATGCAATAGCTGGGCTATGTCCGGCAATAGGCGGCGGTGGGCATGCTGAGCTTCTATGCCGATGTCCAGCTCCGCATTTATATAGCAGCCCCGTGCTGTGACAGTTCTCGCTTGGATCTGCCTCTTAACACCCCCCGTGCATTCCTATTGTGTCTCTGTGTGCCAGGATGGAGGGTGCACACAGGGTCCGGTCACGCTGCGCTGGGTGGTGTGTGTGTGTGTGTGTGTGTGCGGATCAGGATTCTCTTCCCCTCTGTGATTTCAAAGCAGATGCACTTCTGTCTCTGTCTTCTCCTCTCCTTCCTTCCTTCCTTCCTTCCCCAGGCTGAAGCTGAGACTGCTGCATTTCTCCGCTGCTCACATCATCACGTGCTCTCTCCTGTCACCAGCATGACACACTTTAGTGGGGCTTGGAAGAAGCCCTTTGTCACAAAACATTGCAAGGATGAGGCTTAAAGTATATGTGATCCCAAGAACAAAAATGTAATGTATTGCACTTGGCCAGTCTTTAGATGTGGCGGCTGATTTAGTTCTTCTTTTTCTGTCCTAGGGTGACAACACTCACTCATTCTACCATATCTATGGAGGAGCAGCGTTGTCACCCTAAAGCTGGCCATATACTACTCAATTTCCGCCATGCATTTCCCTGCATCTTGCATCATTAGGTGCTCACAGCTGTCACCAGCATGGCGCATTTTAGTGGGACTTGGAAGAAGCCCTTTGTCACAAAACATTGTAAGGATGAGGCTAAAGTGTATGTGATCCCAAGAACAAAACTGTAATATAATGCACTTGGCCAATCTTTAGATGTGGTGGCTGATTATAGTCTTTCTTTCTTCTTTTTCTGTCCTAGGGTGACAATGCTCACTCATTGTACCATATCTATGGAGGAGCAGCGTTGTCACCCTAAAGCTGGCCATATGCTAATCAATTTCTGCCATGCATTTCCCTGCATCTCGTATCATTATGTGATCGCAGATGTCACCAGCATGGTGCTTTTTAGTGGGACTTGGAAGAAGCCCTTTGTCACAAAACATTGCAAGTATGAGGCTTAAAGTATATGTGATCCCAAGAACCAAAATGTAATACATTGCACTTGGCGAATCATTAGATGTGGTGGCTGATTTAGAGTAGTCCTAGTAGTATATGGCCAGCTTTAGGGTGACAATGCTGCTCCTCCATAGATATCGTACAATGAGTGAGTGTTGTCACCCTAAAGCTGGCCATATACTATTATATTTCCACCATGCATTCCTCTGCATCTCACATTATTAGGTGCTCGTAGCTGTCACCAGCTTGACGCACTTTAGTGGGACTTGGAAGAAGCCCTTTGTCTATGCAATTGTCACAAAACATTACAATGATGAGACTTAGAGCATATGTGAAGCCAAGAATAAAAATGTAATATATTGCACTTGTCCAATCTTTCGATGAGTTGGCTGCATTGTTTTTTTTTTAATCTTCTTTCCCTAGCGATTCATCCAGTTAAGCACTTTCTGTCCTAGGGTGACAATGCTTACTGAAGGAGCCCTAAAGCTGGCCATATATCATTCAACTTGCACCTTGTATTTCTCAGCTGTTCACATCATCACATGCTCGCTTCTGTCACCAGCATGACACACTTTACTATGAGGCTTAAAGCACATGTATACCTAAGAATAAAACTGTAATATATTGCAGTTGACCAATCTTTAGATGTGGTGGCTGCATTGGTTTCTTCTTTAAGCGTCTTTCCCTAGCGATCAGCCAGTAATGCACTTTCCATCCTATGGTGACAACTCTCACTCACTATACTGTATCTATGGAGGAGCAGCGTTGTCGCCCTCAAGCTGGCTATACACCGCTCAACTTTCACTTTACATTTCTCAGCTGCTCGTATGATCACATGCTCGCTGCTTTCACCAGCATGACACACTTTATTGGGACTTGTAAGAAGCGTTGTCACACATTAGAGGGAGGAGGCATAAAGCATATGTAAACCCAAGAACAAAAATGTAATATATTACAGCAGACCAGTCTTTAGATGTTTTTTTCCAGGCTTCTTTCCCTAGTGATCCAGCCAGTTATGCACTTTCTGTCCTAGGGTGACAACGCTTACTTACTGCACTGTATCTACGAAAGAGCAGCATTGTCACCCTAAAGCTGGCCATACAGCCCTCTCTCTCTCCTTCCTTCCTTTCCAAGCTGAGGCTGAGACTGCTGCATTTCTCTAATGCAAATTCCGATAGTCTTGGCAGAGTCAGATTCAGTCAAAAACTCACTAAATTGATTGAATGGAGGTTCTCATTGTGTGATCATATTGATACATGTGTATGGCCACCTTTGAGAAAAGTAACCACTGTGTATTTGGGAAATTCCTCCTTGTTATGTCCATGGCAGCACATGATACAGAGAATAGTCGCTGGCAGTGACTTATGGGTACTGCTTCTGCACAAACTGGTGTATCAATCACCATGACATCTTTTTATAATCACTCAGACATACAGTATATCTACAGGGGATAGTGTGCAACACAGAAACTTGGATTTGTTCACTTATATGCCTTGTACATCCCTGGCAGAAATTCTATGCACAGTAAGATCAATTGTAATTGTGAGGGTTCCCAACCACCATTCTATGTTCTTGCTCCTACTGTTGCATTATTGAAAAGGAGAGCATGACCCCTTTAATGGGCACAGCAGGTGTATAGACCCAGGAATATGAAGTTCTCAGACCAATAGGTTCCCCAGAGAGCGGCCGCTATGGAGCACCGGCACCGGGGGGCCTGGCCAGGGCATCCCTCTGATGCCGTGTTGGCCGCCTGGGTCGCTATGGCATGTAAGGGTGCTGGCTGTCACTGACACAGCTACGGCAGAAGAGGCCAGCGTTCGCAGTGAAGGAGGAGGCGGGGCCCGCCTAAGAGCAACACCACCTCCTCTTACATCACTGGCCAGCGACCTAAGAGCAGGTGGGGCCAGTGATGTAAGAGGAGGCGGGGACCGTCGATAGAAGAGGAGGCAGGGCCTGGGGATGGAAGAGGAGGCGGGGCCCGGCAACCACGGAGGTGGACAGAGCTGACAGGTAAGAGGTGTGCAGCCCATCTGAGACCCTGCAGAGCCCACTATAGAGAGTCTATGGTGGGCTCTGCAAGGTCACTCTCAGGTGGACTGTTTGGTATATCAGGTGGGCTCTGCAAGTGGCATAACTAGCAATCACGGGGCCCCATACAAAATTTTGCTATGGGGCCCTGTGATTTCTAGTTACGCCCCTGCCCGAGAGAGAATATTTTGGGTAATTGTACTCAAATACATGTAGTAGAGTCAGTTTTATTTATATATCAGTTCTTGGGGGGCTGTTCCTTTAATTGATGGATATACGTATACAATATGGTGAAGTGCGGGTTATCAGATTTTATATTTTTTAAATTGAAACATGAGGTTTCTACATTTATATAGATGCACCACTTTGCAGAGTAGAACCATTGGTCCATGTCCCTGAAGATGCTTACAGACTAATGTCCCTTACATATACACAACCTAGAAACAGGTAAGGGCCACACACCAAGTTGTCCTTTCACCAGTGACAATGTATCTCTTACTTACAAAATAAGGAGTATATATAAAATTGACAATAAAGTAAAATAATATTATGAATAGGAAACAATTAGAAACCTGCAGTCATTATCCATACCAAGGTTAATGAGAAAAGGAGTACAATACTGGCTGATATGGTAGTGTAATTTATTTTATAGATAACTAGCATGTTTGAACAAATTAATTGGGCTCAAATTATTCATAAAACATTAGATGCATCTGTATGGAATTGGTAGCCCAGACAATTTTTTAGTCGGACAGGTATTGTTTGGTATAAGTTCCATCTCACTAGAATTGATCATGGCTGGAAATTGTGTATGCTCACCGTTGACTTTGGGGCTATAGGAAGCAGAGAAAAAACCATGGTGATCCTATAATGAAGATCCGTTGATGCATGTTTATCATACAGGGTGATTTAACAAACTAAAAGTCATCTTGTAAGAGTTTAGATTTATTTTAATCTACAGATTTCATAAGAAATGATGAGCATGAAATGTGGAGACGCACCCTGGGTCCACTGTAATGCTTCCTGTATATACAGAGTAATCCTTTCTCCAATACTTCCCCGTAACAAAGAATGAAACCCTGTCCTGCTGTTTATTTATGCAGCTTCATCTTTTTAAATTGGATCCTTCAGATATGATGGTGATGATACCACTCTGTTGTATTTGAATAGATGAACTGATACCAATGGTTACTTGGAGCACTGCTTCATCAGTGATCCACTTCTAGTATAAAGCGGAAAGCCCCTGAAATATCTTTGTACTATTCAGTAATCAAAGTTCTAACTCTTGTCTCAAATGCTACAAATGGCAAAACACATCCTGCCTCTTAATACAACATGGTACAGCAGTCTGCATCATATTATGACATTATTACACCGGCAGATGTTTTTTTAATATATCCAGAATCTAACACTAGTTTAGAGATGTTCTGCTTTTATATTTTGTTCATTCATTCTATTGGATTATATTCATTGTAATAATTGATGGCAGTGTGTGGGTATATCTACTTAGATAATCATATGTTATATTAAAAGTTTAATAAACTTAGATTGTAGTATATTTTGTTCATTTAAAAAAATAAATACACACAGAAAGCTATTCACTGAGAATTTCCCATAAGGAATCAGTATCCATGGTTACATAACCTATGTGTACTGTATACATATTCACACACAGAAACAGCAACTCAGCAAAACCTACAGAAGCACCTCTGCCGAAAAGGCAACACACTGTAATCTCTTGCATATTTAAGGGATATGAACACTTTTAAAATACATATGCTTTTTAATATATCCAAGGTAGAGATGAGGTTCAGGTTTGAACCAGAACCCAGTCTGCATTTTGGCAAACAGCTGAACAAACTGACTATTTTTGGCTAGGTCACCCCTCCACATCCCAGCTGATATTTGTAGACAACCATCACTCACAAAACAACAGTTGCACGGCCAG